TAATAACTGAAGTTCACTCTACACCCCATGGCTTTTGCTTAAAACACCTCTAAACCTGCCTTGGCACTGAAATGGATGCAGCACCAGTGCCATCCCTAAGCACAGGTTAAGGAATAGGGTAGTAAACCTTCCCCAAAGTGGTGGTAAGGAGTCATGAAATCACCTTTTAAATCTGAGGCACAATCCTCCCCGTGCTCCTGTGGCCAAACTGCAGCATCTTACAACCTTCCACAGTTCACTGCTTCAGCCACATAAATCCAGGCTCCTATTCACCTAAATCCAGGCTCCTGTTCACTTAAATCCAGGCTCCTGTTAACCCTCAGACACGCACCAAGCTATGTAAATGGGAAATCTAGGTAATGGATTCTCCATATATCTCCCTTTCAAACACCTGGGCTGTGTATTCTGCCAGTAAGGTAAGAGCAGCCAAATACTCAGAGATAGATATAAACCAGCCTTTGTGTCACTGCTTATCTAACTGTAGATTTATTACATTTTTAATACATATTTATTTACGAAACAGAGGGAAAGTCAAAGCACAACACCCCCAAAGCTGTCTCCCCACCACAGATGCTCTTTATCTGCTACTTCTTTGGGTTTTTTTTCACCATGTTCACACAGGGCAACACCACCAAACAGTCACGACACACCCTGACATCCCTCCCTTTCCCAAAGATCAAGGATCAAGCCCGGGATGGGAGATTCTGCTCGTCTTGAGAATCCACATCAGCACCTCCAAAAGCAAACTAAGACATATTCTTGATGCCAACTCATTTGTTAGTCAGCTGTGTGAATGATCCCCCTTCCCAAGCACTTTCCTTAGGCTCTGAAGAGGAAACAGCTCATTCCCAAGATTTAAAGGGTTGTTGTTTAGCAAAAAGGTTGGTAGGAGAACAAATATTGACCTCTCTGCAAAGAGCATTAAAATGCTGAACAAAAATGTTGTGAACTGAGACTGTCACCATGGAATGCCAGAGAGGGGAAGCAAAGCAGGGGGGAGGAAAGGTATTAAGGAGGAAATCAATATGTAATTTAAAAATCATTAAGCCAGTCACTTGCTGTAATGCACTAATACTAAACCAGGTGCTCCTGGACATGTGGGGAGGGCAATCCACAGCTAGAGCAGAAGAAAACTCCCTCCAGCACAGCATTCCCAGCATAAAATGGACTTGGAAGCTTCAGAGGACTTCAGGGACATTCAGATATTTTTGATTTATGAGGACACAGGGAGGCCTTTTATGCTAAGTTAAGAATATAAACTTTTAATGCCCGGGTGAAGTAATTCCCTCTTCCTTCTCATTCCCTGCTCTGGAAACACACACCTTGGATTCAAATCTCTGCCTACAGCTGTTACATGGAATCATGGAATGGTTTGGGCTGGAAGGGACCTTAAAGCTCATCTCATTCCACCCCCTGCCATGGGCAAGGACACCCCCCACTAGCCCAGGTTACACCTTCCAATTAATAACTCACGTTTGTTAGTAATAATTAATATTATTAATAATGTTACCTGAGTGACAGACTCGTCTGATTTGAATATTACCACAAACCTGAAGACTTCCTAAAGAAGAACAATCTTTAATTTGAAGAAGTGGTTTGGTAGAAATCTTGTTTTATAAGAGACAAATGAAAGAGTAAAAGCTGGAGTTTGTTTTTAGCCTCTACACTGACAGAAGCAACTCTGGGTGATACTCCAATATATTTGATATATATGTGTGTGTGTGTATATATATATGTGTGTATACATATATGTGTGTATATATATACATATATATATGCTTACATATATATATGTATATATATACACATATATATTTATGTGTATGTCTCTACAGCTATCTCAGGCCCAATAACTAGTGCAAATGCCCTTTTATCCAAAGGAACCCTGTTAAACCTGCTGCCAGCACCTGCAGTGCACTAGATGGCAGCCCTTCCAAATGGGAATGAAGCCTCTCCTTCCCAAGAATCCCCCAAAAAACAACCTGGTTCACCCTCACTGATTTCCTTCTTGCTAAAACAGGGTTATACTTTTCTACATCTACTCATCCAGGCTTTGAGGGGTTCTTTAGCAGCTGCTAAAATCAGAGTGATTTTTAAATTCCTGCCTTTTTTTTTGTAGGTTGGGCCCTAGTTCTACTCAAGGATTGATTATTTATTAAAATAGCTGTAATTCTGCAACAGCAAAATAGAATTTTTTATCTGCTGAACAGTTCCAGAGGGACAAATTCCTCTCAAAGA